ATGAAAATATCAAACAGTTTTAACTTATTAAGAATAATAGTTCATTTTTCATCATAATCTATCTTTTTTTACTGGAATTTAACAATGTTGATTATTACTAACTTCAACTAACAATTACTCTCTTTGTGTAATGATAGACAATGACAAGTTATGAATATAGTCCCCTGAAGGATAGCGAATGAAGAATTACGGGTAATATATTCGAGTATGATTTTTAATGTCAAAGTAAAGATAAAGTGTCACACTCTAGTCTTAATGTCATATGCCATCATTACACAAAGAGAGTAATTGTTAGTTGAAGTTAGTAATAATCAACATTGTTAAATTCCAGTAAAAAAAGATAGATTATGATGAAAAATGAACTATTATTCTTAATAAGTTAAAACTGTTTGATATTTTCATGAATTAATTACTACTGTAGTCAAAATCGAAAAAAAAAACACAACAAAATCTTTCTCTTTTCCCAGGCAAGTTTTCTTTCTCGAAAATTCAAGAGGAAATTATCTCAAAAGAAAACACTCATTGTTGACAAAGTTGAGAATTTGACTAAAAAAGATTTATCGTCTTGTAGCAAATCCGATTTCTATGAAGAAAAAATTGTTCTCTCTCTCTCTCTCATTATCTCTTATTTTATAATTTTTCTTGTCTCTATTTCAGACTACCCATTACGTTCGCCGTCTACCACCAACATTCATCCGAATGCTCGATGGCAACAGAATGGGATCACTGTGGCTGGAGGAAATCGACAAGGTAATGGAATCAATCAACTCTCTAACCCATTGGGTTTGTATGTTGATGATGATCAAACTATGTATGTCGCTGATACGTCGAATCATCGTATTGTGAAATGGAAATGGGGTGCGACGAGTGGCCCAGTGGTTGCCGGTGGGAATGAACAAGGAAGTGGGGCTCATCAGTTGTCTCACCCAAATGATATGATTGTTGACAAAGAGAGAGATAGTCTCATCATCTGCGATGGGTGGAATGGAAGAGTGGTTCGATGGCCTCGTCGAAATGGCACAAGTGGAGAAACGATCATCTCCAACATCGATTGTGTGGGTTTGACAATGGACGAGAATGGATCTCTCTATGTCACTGACGTTGGAAAACATGAAGTGAGACGATATCGAAGAGAAGAATCTCAAGGAACAGTGGTTGCAGGTGGCAATGGAAGTGGAAATCGTCTCGGTCAACTCTCTTACCCACGATACGTATTCGTCGATCGAGATCATTCAGTGTACGTATCTGAATGGGGAAATCATCGTGTGATGAAATGGGTGGAAGGTGCAACACAAGGCATTGTCGTGGCTGGTGGTCAAGGACAAGGAAATGGTCTTACACAATTGTATTCTCCTCGAGGAGTCGTTGTCGATCAATTGGGCACTGTCTATGTGGCTGATGGATGGAATGCTCGAATCATGCGTTGGCCCAAAGGAGCCACACAGGGAAGTGTCATTGTTGGTGGAAATGGTAGAGGAGAACAATTGAACCAACTCAATTGGCCCACCGGTTTGGCATTCGATCGACACGGCAATCTCTATGTCGTCGATTACGGAAATCATCGAGTACAAAAATTCAACCTGGAATCCAATAAATGAAGGAGGACTACAAAACGAACAAAAAACTACTATAATTTTTCATTTTAAACATTCATGTAATTATGAACTGACTAACGCACGCCGTCACCGGAATCATTGAATTTAATAATAAATTTATTACACTTTTTTTCTGTTTTTATAAGCATAAAAGTGAATCAACCCAGGATTCCGCACCCTTGAAAAATTGGAAATTCTCTTTTTATTAAAAAGCAGTGAAAGTCTTTACAAAACTTCAAGTTTACATGTTTTCAAGTATGCCTGACACTATTCAACACCCAAGGAACTATAGCCGCTGTGACGATACTTGTAATACTCGTTTTCCGTCGTTTTTTCAAGAATCTTCAATAGTAGAACTGCAGAGGGCAGAAGAATTTCAAGGATTCCATGACTTAATAGGTCGCGTACTCTTCAGAATAATGAAGATCATGTTGGAATCTATCAGATTCTTATGATTCCAAGACATACAACATTGGGAAGCATAGCAACCATAGAGATGCTAAAACCAGCTATACAGTTCTTCAGGCTTAACAAGCCATAGCAAGGATTTCAAGGATTATATTGGCTTGAAATATTGTATAGCCCTCTAAATGCTGAAAGCCATGATTGAGTCTGTCAGGTTCTATGTATTCCAGGCAGCCAAATTCTAGGAATTCTTGGAATCCGTGAAATGCTAGAACGAGTTATAGAGTTTCATAGACTTGGAACGCGAAAGTAGAGATTTCAAAGATTCAATAGCTTGAAACATCGTGTAGTCTTGCAAATGGTGAAAGCCATGTTGTATTCTGTTCGTTTCAAAGGATACCGAGATACCTGACATAGGGAAGTCTCAGAATCGTGAACATTCGAAAGTTCTTTATGGGGTCCCATAGGCATTGCGAAACCCAACCAAGCATGCTTAGGACTTCATGACTGTAAGCGCTGTATTGCGTTAAGAATAATGGAGACGATGTTGGATTATACTCGTTGAAGAATTCGACGAGTGGACCTCAGGAAAAGGCTTGAAGTTCTGGCAATTGTGCAAGGTCCAATAGGGTCACATAGACATGGGAAATTTAACAAAAGATTCCCATGGCTTCATGAGTTGAAACGTTGTTTGGTCTTCAGAGTATTCAAGATAATGGCGGACTCCATTAGATATCAAGAATCCCAGACGTTGGTACATGATGCGTTGAAATATTTGAAATGTTAGAAATTACCATGGTCAATATATCCGGTGGATGTAAAAGCAAAGATTCCAAGACACAGGAAGTTGTGCGATGTTCAGAATATCAATATCATGGTGTATTCTATTTGCTCTGAATTATTCTAGACCAGAAGATTTTTGGAATGAAGTCGGAAACAACGGTGTCGAATGCCTCGGATGCTGTAGAGTGATATAGAGTTTCTTGATGTTTCATAGAGTATGTGGGAGTAGCTTAGTTAGAACTTTAGAAAGAAAATGTTTATTTCTCAGACCTGTAAACCTTTCCTAGAAATACATTTTGTTTATGAATTTTTCTCCCCGGCAGACTAAAATCAGTGTGTAACTGTTCCTGGCGTAAGATATTGCTTACATTCGATATAGATAGGTTGGAAACATTAAAATTAGCTGTTTGTACGATGAAAGGTGGACAAATTGTTTTTGTGGAATTATTTTAGATAGCATTTTGTTTTTGTTCTTCTTCACATATGTTTTCATTATTGTGTAAATAGCTTTGCATCAAAATAGTCACTTTCGTTTAAATGTTTTGTTTCTTACGCATTGTTTTCTAGATTCTGTTCCGCTTTTCGGATCATCATTCATAGGTTTATTTTTGTCGCGAGAATATTGTTATCGAGGTCAATATGCATGGCTATGAAATGGGAAAACAAAATTTAGCTTTATATGTTTATCGAGGAAAAACTTTTTGACTATTCTTATGAAGATCTGGACATACAAATTAGTTATTTTGTGTACCAGAGGGCACTAAGGCAACGATTATGCATGGAGGTCTCCGGTTCGATACTAAGCCCACCTCAATTGGATAGAGAAGAACTTTATATTAGAGCCTCACTAAATTCGAGCAGTTTGTCGAAGAACTATGAGTTTTTCTGTCTTCTATCAATGTTACACTTGCGCATAAAATAATTGGATTTTGCATACTTTCGCAGAAAAGAACAAATGCTTACTATAGTTTCCAATTGATGATAGAAATTCTCATTTGATTATCCGTTAATTATAGAGATGGGCAGCTCCGATCATTTCTTGCACTGATTCCGCTCTAACGAGAAAGTATTTTTGCTATTTTCCTTGGAGTTCGATAATATTCAGTGAATCTCACGTTTTATTTCAACATATAAATCAATAGACTATAAAAAGAAAAACTAATTCTCTATATATTTAAGTCATCATGATTACAATATGAAGATTATCTAGAATGATAAATAGACTAGTGAAGTACAACAAGTGTCCATTGCATTTTAGTAAAGTTAGCATTAAGAGCATATTCTTAGAGAGCCGCTTGCGCTTGACATATGGTAGGTTGATCAATGTGCCATTGTCAATTGAGCAGCTTTGAGTAATAGACGAAGATGTTTTTGATTTATTTCTTCGTCGATTCGGATAAATCTGACGCAAGTACCCGCCTTAGCTATAAACAACCATCCAGAAAAGGAGCGACCAAGTAAAAGATCGTCTTTGTAAAGATCGCTGGTAGAACGTTTCTTCATTTTCATATTATTATCAGCAAAAACTCCGCACCGCTCAGGTAATCCACCGAAATGTCGCGTAGAGAATTGAGAAGTGTACGACATAGTGATCCAAGATATTTGCAGTTGGCCTGCTCGTGTTCGAGATCAAAGTAAATTGCGAGAATACTCAGTGCGGCTTTCGAGATGGAAGCAGATGTTTCGACTTGTATAAGAGTGGTGGCTTCGGCGAATTACGCGAAAATACTGGCACAATTTCTGAAGTATCATAATGTCACGAGGCGTCAAAGCTAGATCGATGCGGTCAATATTGCATTGAAGATCATTCAGAAACGTGTGCAGGGTTTCAAGAACTTTGAAAATAGTCTTGAAGCTGTACATTCTAGTGCGTCTTCACAGCTAATGGAATACTAATGTACTCTCGTCGTTGCAGATCCTTGGCAAATTATGTTGACTTGTGACTAAAACATTAAGCAATGATAAGACAGATTGCATATAAATTTTTACAAAATTTTTTCACTGCTTATCAGTTTTCATAAGTATGTTACCTGAGTTTCGCAATTGGCGCAACTTTAACAATAGTCAGTTATGCATTTTCACATTCTTTCAAATCACCATCAACTGTAACATGAAGAGTGTGGTAGAAGCATGGTATACGAAAACGTTTTTCTTGATCGCTTACGTTGTTTTATTCACCTTTTTCTTCATACTCGACTGCCTCCGTTTCATCGTTCTGCTCGTCTTCATCGTCTTCAAGCTCAAAATAAACTTCAAATCCTGATATTGCATGCTCAACTAATGCCTTTAGGTTGTTTGATGCGTTGTCCGTAACTATCCGAACCACCTTGTCTTCGATATTGAAAATAGCAGTAACATCTTCGAGTTAACGATGTAAATTGTCACCTGCATGTGATCCTACAATTGACATCTTTAATATGGTAGGTGCCACCGTTTTTCGCAATAGTATGCATTGTGCTTCCGCTGATCGCGCGCATTCTACGGTTAGACTACACGTCAAGAGTGAGCAGGACTATCTTTGCATCACTACATGCAGACTTGTTTCACGTTCATTATGACTTGTTCAAGAGTAGACGGTAGTGTTTCATGACAAAATGTATGCGGAGACAAAACAGTTGATCTTGTACGATAATTTGAGTAAGCTCTAATTGGCGAAGGTTGTAAGCATCATGTTTCTGATTAACTAAAGCATCAAAATATATTCCCAAGTAATGTTATTCAGCGATTACGTACTTCGCTGCCCAAATAATTGTTGAATTGTTGATTTCTTCTTGCCATTATTCGATTTTTCGGTCTCTAGTCCTAACTTCCATTTCTTCTGTATGCTTGTATTGAACTTGACATCCATAGGTTGAAGTTGAGATTGTGGATTGTCTCACGATTGTGCGATATGATAAGAATTTCTCAGATTTTGTTCAGTTATCATATGTCTTTATCTCATCGAAGAACTGCTCAAGAACAGTATTGGTCATTTTTTTCAGTGTTATATAATAGCAGTGTACCATTTATTATTGTCGACGACAACAGGAGACGATGTTTGATTATAGGATTATTGTAACATAGAAAAACTTGTTGGTTCAACTTTCACTTGAACGAAAAATTTTATTCTGTTCTATCATTGCTCACTTATCACACATTTTATATTATTGAATTTTTTCTCTTCATCGATGTCGTGTTCTTACATTTTCAAATTGACAATAGCGCAGTTCAATTAGACGTTGAACAATCGACTAAATGAAAGGTCAGTCATTGTCTCAAGCATTGCCATTGATTGAAATGTAACAATGGCATATTCACTGTAACGAACAATCGATGACGAGCTTTTCTGTTACTAATTCTTCCGTCTTTACTCACAGAAGAATAAAGCAAAAAATGGACACTTGGTTGACTCAGTATTTTTCGAGTCTCCATCAATGAGGGATATTCCAAATTTGCTTGTTGGCCACGAACATGGATAAAAAATGGCCACATATTATATCATTTGTTGCTATGGCGGTCTCTTCTCTTTCATCTAAATTTCTCTCTTTTTCAATCGCTTCCATAGCTTAAATAACTTTCTTAGACTCAGTTTTTCATGCTGAATCCGAAACTAACAGTTTTAGAATTTGAAGTAAATGAAAACAATAAAAAAATTGATCAATTATCGAAAATTGACATTTGTTTTTTTCTTTTTTAGAAACAGTTGGTCATAGAAGAAAAGTGAAAATTTTTAGCCAAAAACTCACTCCAAAAAGGATAAAATATATATATTCTTGATCAGCTCATCAAGCTCTATCTAATCATATATAAGAAAAAGAAGAAAAAAATTTGCTTTA